CTGATCTGGCTGGTCTCTCCCTTTCCTCTTCCCACAGATCACAATAACAGAAAGCTCAGGCTTCCCCATAGTTATCTCAAGATCTCCTCAGCCAGGCCTCACACTCCATGTGTTAAATGAGATTCATTTATAAAATAAGTCCTTATTTTTTTTCTTGACAATGGCTTGCTTTCCAAAACTCTGTGACCCAAACATTGCTTCCATGAACAACAAAACCCAGAATAGTAATATTTAAAGGCAATGGATTATCTAATAATCCCCCCAGGAAGTGTAACTCCATGCAGAGAGGTTCAATAAGAGTGTCCAGTTGTGCTGATTGTGAATTCCAGGATAAACCTCTTCTATGGTCCTCTTGGAGGGAACGCTAAACAATATGAGTACTGTCTTCAACGCTCCAGACATCCTTCCGCTGGCTGGCTGTCACATCAGCTCTCAAGAAAACTCTGTTAGAACAGCATTTCTCTGCCGAAGGAAGGCAAATGTTGGCAAGCCTGGTGGTGCCAGAGCTGGTGTTCTGAAACCTGAATGTAGCCTGGACACCCTTGGCACTATGTCTTTCGGGCAGGTTAGGATACAGAGGAAGAGCTGCTGTTCATCTCTCCCACCCTGAGGGAGTCCAAAGAGCGGTGTAGTAAAAGGGGGGCATCAGAGCCACTTTCGGGTATCACAGTTCTCGGGAAGCTTAGTCATGCGCCAAAGTGTGAGCTAGAAATGGTCTGAGAGTTTGGGAAGGAAATGACTCAGCCAGTATAAAATGTTACAAAATAATCAATCAATCAGACCTCAGCGTCTTCCACATCTAGGCTGCAAACAAGAAACTATCAAAAGACTGCATATAAACTACGATCCTTATCCTGGACCAGGACAAAAATCTATAAAGCTAAGAGCAGCTGCCTTAGACAGAAAGATGGACGTGAGGCAAAACAAGGACTTGGTACCAGGAAGGACTCCAGGGATCATCTTGTCAAATCCCTGCCTTTGGCTTAGAGAGCAAACAAGGGCAGTTAATCTCACCACTCTTGTCTGTATTGTCCAACTCATTCCATTAAAGAAAGAAAATACATCTTAAGAGTTCAGAAAATAAACTGTAAGTATATATAGATAATATCGTTCTATGGATAGAAAAATCTAAACATGTACAAATATTATTAGCTCGAGTTTAGCAAGATTGTTGGGTATAAAAGTAACATGTAAAAAAATACATTTCCATTGATATATAATCAATATGTATATTTGCCAATAAGCATTGAGAAAAAGAAAATTTTATAAAGTGATCATTTATATTTGTAACAAAAGTTAAGTATGTGCCCAAACTTATCTTGCATGTCTATAAAATGATTAGATTTCAAGAGTGGCCATTAAAAGATACTCTTAGAAATATTGGGGTGTAGTGTATTCCATGTAGTATGTATCCACGAACATAGTACACCTACCTGTATTCTGATGGTATTGTAAAGAGGAGAGCTTCTCCAAGTCTCTGTATAGATTCAGCACATCCCAAGACTACAGCATATTGAATGACGTCATGGGAAAAGTAACCCATTCTGTATTTTAAGTCCTGTCATGTCCACATCTAATCATGCTACAGGGACCTGCCAACCACCTGGGGCCTGACACATCTTTGAAAAGTTCCAGAGTTCTGATTTTCCTTTCGTTCTTTGAGTAGTGTGTGATGGCAAATTCTGAATCCACATTCTCTGGGGAGCCCATAGAGCAATGAGCATCATGCACCCCAAGGGCCCAGTAGTGTGGATGCTGGGAAGTCTCTGCAGCCCGAGGATGGTGCGCTGGACCACTGCCATTGAGGATGAACCAAACGCCAGGTTAAGGCGCCCAGTGCCGATGCCCATGTTCGCAGTTTTATCCGGTAAAGCGAATGATTAGAGGTCTTGGGGCTGAAACGATCTCAACCTATTTTCAAACTTTAAATGGGTAAGAAGCCTGACTCGCTGGCGTGGAGTCGGGTGAGGAATGCGAGTGCCTAGTGGGCCGCTTTTGGTAAGCAGAACTAGGGCAGCATTAGACCCTTACTCTTCTCCCCCGACCCCACCCCAAGACAAGGTTTGTCTGTGTAACCCTGGCTGCCTTGGAATGAATTCTGTAGACCAGGATTGACTTGTCCTGTCCAGTGCTGGGATTAAAGGCGTTACTAGGCTCCCTCTTTCTTTTTTCTTCTCCCTTTCCTTCCCCCACCTCCTTCTCTCCCTTCCCCTTCTCCCCTCTCCCCCCTCTCCTTCCCCTCTACTTACCCTTCTCCTCCCCACTCCCCATACTTCCTGTCTCTCCTTCCTGATTCCTTCCCCCCTCCTTCCCTCCTCTCCTTCCCCTCTCCTCCCCCCTCTCCTCCCCCCTCTCCTCCCCCTCTCCTCCCCCTCTCCTCCTCCCTCTCCTTTGTCTTGCCCCATCTTTCCCCCTTTCTTCTTTCCTGTCTCCTCAGTCCCTCCATCCTTGTCCTTACCAATTGCTCTTAATCCCTCTCCGTTTCAATCCTTGTTCTCAACAACCTTTCTGCTCCTCTGTCTCTGGCTCTCAGCCTCAGTCAGCTAGATGACCTGATGGTAAAGGAACTGAGACATTTTAGCTCTCCAGCCCTTCCCACCACTAGAAACCAGCTCTAACTGGTTTCCAGGAGGCCGAGTTCCCTCCTAGACCTTCACCCTCAGAGATCCTCCTCCGTGTGCTCGGCACTCATACGTCTCCCACCACCCACAGACCTCTCTGTTCCTCTGGCTGACCCAGACGCTCTCAAGCTGTCCTGGAGCCCTTTCGAAAGTCACAGCCAGGGAAGAGACTGTCCTCCGACTTCTAAATGTATCTCTCCACAGCTCCACCAACAAAGCTTGCCCTGACCCTTCCTGAACCCCAAGACAGAACCACAGATCTTTGGCTGCCCTTCCTTCCACCCTCAAAGAAGGGCTGTTTTTGCAATCAGGGGCACTGGAAGACTGTTGCCTACCAGGAATGCAAAGATGTGCTTTGTTTTGTTTTCTCCACAGTCGGGGCTGATTTGACCTGATTGACGGAAGAGATAGCACTGTGGGAGGGCAGGGGGGAGAGACTGGGAAGAAGACTGTCTACAGGATGGGGAGGCTGGGATGAGGGAGAGGGAGGCACAGGGGAAGGAAAGATGAAGATTCAGAATTTTAAAACCGGAGAAGGAAAGAAATCCTGCAGGACCCACATGCCACCCAGTCTTAGCAGTGGACCCCAAAGCTTGGAGTTTGCTCTTGTCCGGAGTTAGTTAGCAGAACCTAGGCTAGCCAGCAGGTCAGACTCCACCTAAGGCCAGCATCACCTCCTCCCCCTTTGTTCAAGGCAGAGAAAGCTGACAAGGCTTGGCAGTGGGATGAAACTGTGTGATTTACGAGGAATTCTGAGATGTCTTCCAGTTGACAGTCTCTGGAGCTCGCGCAAGCCCACACTTTCGTGGGGGCAGCATTTAATGAAACAAACACATGAGTTATTCGTCTTTCATTAGGGATGACATGCAGAAAATACATATCAGAATGAAAAATAGGCTCCTGCCCAGGATGCACGGTCCCGTGGTTGAGACCATGTGGGAGAGCCAGCGGCGCCCATCTCCAGATGGGGAAGGGAAGGAGGGGAGCCGACGCCTCCAGACACTGGCTGCTGTGTGTGTTGTCTGCACGAAGTCCTGCAGGAGTTCAGGACGCTGGATGCAAGGCTCCTGTGGTGCACACAAGAAAACCGAGGCTCAGGGAAGACGGGGAGCTCATCACAAGTCACCCAGCTAGTGAGTGACTGAGCCAGGAGTCTATGCCCGGCCTCTCTGACTCAGCTCCATCAGCCATCTGTACGGGGGAAGGGAGGCCAGCTGTGCAGGGCCTGGGGTCCAACTTTGCAGATGTCGCAGTGGGGCCCAAGCTGCAGATGCTTACTCAGACAGATGATCTGGAGACAAGGGAGCCTGGAGCTGGCAATAGGAGCCTAAGGCTTTGGTGGTCAGCCAGGTCCAAATAGATCATGTCCAAACCTACAGGCTCTAGGGAGAGGCCCGTGGCCTCTGATGCGTTCTCATTTCCCAGTCTTAGGGCCATTTGGCATCTGAACCAGGAAGCCCTCTCAGACCCCTGTCTCAGAGGAGGTTCTGTAGGGATAGGTCTCAGAACCTGCACTTAGAATGGGTCCTTCCTTCATCTCTCTTGACCCTCACTTTCCAAAGCTTTACTGTAATGTTTATATATGACAATAACTGCCTCTCAGTATTGTTCAGAAGGTTTCTTTTAATGTTATAATTATTACCAACCACATAATAAATAAAACATGCTGAGTGCATTCCTGTGCCTACACTATGCTAAGTCCTTTACCGCATCACCTGACTTAGCCTTCAAGACAACCATTCTACACACGGCAGTTAGGATTCCACTTCAGAAACTCAGAGAGGTTCCTGGTCTGCCCAGGCCACACAGCAAATGAATAGCAGATTCAGACTTTGAATCAAAGTCATCATATATGTGCTCCATGCAACAAAGTACTAAGAAGGTAACTGTTGCTCAATGAAAGGGGGTGATGGTCCCTTCTTTGTCCCCTCAAGGCCTGGGTTTTCCCAGTGTCCTCTAGGATTTGCTTATTGTGGGGGACCTGCCCCCACTTTTCCCCCCAGGGTACTCTTGAGCAGGGAGAAGTGAAAAATATTTAGATAGAAACACAGGGAGCCTCGGGAGGGCCTGGGTCAAAACCCACCAGCCCCTTCTGTCTCTACTAAAGGACTTTTATAGAAATGCCAAGGGGTGGAGCGAAAGACTGCCCCCAGCACAGCCAAGTGCAGACCATTCCAGACACCTGGTAACCACACACATGGTCAATCCATACCCTTATGCAGCCCTGCTGTGTAAAGCAAGCTCAGAGCTCACTAGGAAACCTCTATGGACTCCAACAGCTTCTCTGGAGTTCTCTTGGTCCACACTCCCCCTTCCCCTCCCTCAGTCTTCCTTCCTTTTAGAGTTTGGCAAACACCACTTCACTTGAGGCCTCTTGTACATTTGGAAACGATGCAAGTTTATTTTGGCACCGCAGAGAGGCTCTGGATGCCTCTGTGGGAAGAGGGCTGGAGAATGTGGCCCCCGCCACTGTCGGTTCCCGTTACTCTCCCAAGCACATACACGGCACCCTCACAGCTGTGTGCGGAGCCCTGAGAAGGAAAAGAGATAAGAGCTTGCCGTCAGACAGATCATGAGAGTCACCTCTCCTCTCTCGGGGCTCACCTCCAAAAAGAAGTCCAAGTGATACCAGGAGCTGTAGTCAACCCCACAGGATAGCTCTCCGCCCATCTCCTCCCTGACGCTGGCAGATTCCCACCTGTGTATCTGGCAAACGCCGCAGCAAGCCGGGGCCTGAAGCCTGTGTGGCTGAAGCCTGTGTGGCGAGTCAAGTCACACTGAGCTGCAAGGGGTAGCCAGTGTCCCCTGGTCCATGCCCCCACTGGCTGGGACTTGGAGTCTGTCCACATCACGGAATACCACTGCAGGAGTACTTTTGCACCCCACTTCATAGCTCAGGGTCCTCACAGCCATCTCACCCAAAAGTCTGGCTCTCCCATGTTGACAAACATGGACGTGATGACCCCGAGAGGATAAGCAGTCAATCAAAGTCACAAAGGGGGCGGGTCACTGGTAGAACCCGTGGTCTGAGTGGAGGCCCTGCCTGTCCCCAGTCACAGGACTTTCTTCCGAGGCACTTAGGCTGGAAGTTCATCCAGACTTTGTCTGAGCCTGTCTCTGGTCCTGAAATCTAAGGAAAGCTTGTGTGCAATGCTTCTGGGGGGTTGAGCTAATATTTACCCTCTTGTCATTTTTACCCATGAATCACCCAAGTCCTAAACCTAGCTTCAGGCAGAGAGAAGAAATCCCTATGTCCACTCTTGGACATGACTATCCTTTAGAGATGAGAAAATGGCCCCAGGTGACCCTCAGGCATCCCTATTCCAAGCCCAGGACCAGTGGGGTGTGGGAGACCAGCCTTGCCTCTCACTTCCTAGCCGTGGGATGTGTGAGCACATTTCTTAGTCCTTTTGGGCTTCCATCAAAGGGGAAGGATTACTTCTATTGTGTTGGGTGGTTAAGGATCAGAAAAAAAGGATGTCTAGAACCATTTACCCACTGCCAGTCAGTGGCGACTTTCATAGTCTCGTCCTCTGTTATATCTCTGTGAGTCTCTCCAAGCCTTGGCTTCTCTTCTCTTGGGCATTACTACAGCTGCTTCCTTCATCAAAAGTGGGTGTTCCGGCAATACCAGCTTCCTGGGTTTGGGGGAGCAGGTGATGACAGACTGGGGAAGGCGCCGTACCCCACAGCGCAGCGCCTCTACCCTAGTTAGCTGGACAGGATCCTGTCTCCTAATCCTCCCACCCGTTCACCAGGGTTGGCATGATTGTCTTTTTCTCTCTTCAAAAGCCTCAATTCTGTACCTCAGCTCCTGGGTACAAAAAACAAAAAAATAAAAATAAAAACCAAACAAGCAAACAACAAAAACACAAGCAAACAAACATACGAAAACAATTAAAAAGCAAAGCAAAACAAAACAAAACAAAAAAACCCCAAAATACTAAAGATAATGTCGAGGCTCAGAAAACACTCCAAAGCACAGAATTTTGACACACCAAGGACTTTTTTTTTTTTTTTGGTTTTTCGAGACAGGGTTTCTCTGTGTAGCTTTGCGCCTTTCCTGGAACTCACT